GAGAGTTCAGACCCAGGGCAGCGTGTTCTGGCATTCCTGTGGTGGAGTTGTGTGCTGGCCTGGGAAGGATGTTCTTAGGGGTCTGAGGTTTAGACAAAACACCCCGATTCCTGCTGCAGCCCATCTGCCCACTTTGCATAGATAGTGAGGCCACCATTATCCATAGCCTGAGTGTCAAGTGTAAACTCTTTAACTCCGGGCATCCAAGGACTCTGACAAGTGGTGCCCTCAAGACCTGTCTTGAGTGAGTGGGAAGTATCACAGGGATAGTCATGATGACAAAGATGATGATAGGTGACACATACTAGGCATTTACTGCTTGTAAGTGTTTTACACAAATTATTCATTCCTCACACCTGCCTCATGGAGGATCTATTATTATCCCTACTTTAGAGGCTGAAACTGAGGCTCAGAGAGGTGAGGTGACTTGCCCAAAGTCTCACAGTGGCAGAGTAGGGATTAGAACCTAGACAGTCTGGTGCCTGACCTACAATGCCCTGCTGCCATTTATGATCTGGGTATCTGATAGTAAGGCCTTGAACTAGCACAGCAGGGGGGAGAGGAGGGGCCGGGTAAGCAGAAAGTTAGGGGATAAGATTCAGGGCCTAAAAGGCAGTTAGCTGACTAGAGTCCCCAAGGGACTCTGGGGGAAAGAGGAGGCATTTGACTTTAGCTTGGGGATGAAGGGTGGTATTAAAAAAACAACAACTCACTGCCATCCAAGGCAGTACATCTTTATGGAAATAAATTGCCCCATCTTCCTTCTGTGGAGTGGCTGGTGGGTTTGAACCACCAACCTTCTGGTTAGCAGTCAAGTACTGTGGGCACTGCACCACTGGAGCTCCTTGACGGGTCATATAGAGAAGCCAGAGAGAGCTACTCCTCCGTCTGGTGAAGACTCGGGAGGCAGAGGGAAAGAGTGGGAACTGAGTAGGGGAGGATCAGAGTAGGAGCTGAATTCCCCTCGGACCATCTCTGTATTTGGATCTTCCTAGTGGATCAGTTGAAGAAGAATGTGGCATCAGGATTGGAAGAAGACTCATTAACAACCTGTGATATGCAGATGACACAACCTTGCTTGCTGAAAGTGAAAATGACTTGGAGCGCTTACTGATGAAAATTAAAACTATACTCTGCAGTATGGATTTCACCTCAACATAAAGAAAACAAAAATCCTCACAACTGGACCAATAAGCGGTATCATGATAAATGGAGAAAAGACTGAAGTTGTCAAAGATTTCATATTGCTTGGTTCCACAATCAACACCAATGGAAGCAGCAGTCAAGAAATCAGAAGACGTATTGCATTGGGCACATCTGCTGCAAAAGACTTCTTTAAAGTGCTGAAGAGCAAAGATATCTCTTTGAAGATTAAGGTGCACCTAGCCACTCCCACCAGCCACTCCTTGGAAGGAAGATGGGGCAATCTACTTCCGTAGTGATACTGCCTTGGAAACCCAAGGAGAGGTCGCTATAGTCGTGTCCGACTCAACAGCACATAACAACAAAAGCCATGGTTCAGTCACCTCATATGCTTGTGAAAACTGGACAATGAATAAGGAAGACCAAAAAAGAGTTGATGCTTTGGAGTCGTGGTATTGGTGAAGAATGCTGAAAGTACCATGAACTGCCAGAAGAACTAACAAATCTGTCCTGGAAGAAGTGCAGCTGGAATGCTCCTTGGAAGTGAGAATGGCCAGACTTTGTCTTACCTACTTTGGTCATGTCAGAAGGGACCATTCCTTGGAGAAGGACATCATGTTTGGTGAAGTAGAGGGTCAGCGAAAAAGGGGAAGACCCTCACCAAGATGGATTGATACAGTGGCTACAATGATGGGCTCAGGTATAGCAAGGATTGTAAGGCTGGCGCAGGAGTGAGCAGTGTTTGATTCTGTTGTACATAGGGTCATTATGAGTTGAAGCTGACTCCATGGCACCTAACAACAACAGTGGATCAGTGGTTCTCAGCTAGGGGCAATTTTGCCCTCCGGGGACATTTGGCACTGTCTGGAGACATTTTTGGTTGTCACAACTGAAAGGGGTGCTAGTACCATCTAGTGGGTAGAGGCCAGGGACTGCTATGATACTCTACAAAGCACAGCACAGCCCCATACAACAAGGAATTAGTTGAGCCTGCCACTTTCCTCCTACACCCCAGGTCTTTTGTCCTAGCTAGGGCAGAGAGCTCAGGTGGGACCTGCCCCTGCTTGGGCCTCTAGCTGGGCAGACCTTTGCCCTAATCTTTGGCCTGCCCCTCTTAAACTTGCTTCTTCCTGGAAGCTTCTAGAGTCTACTCAGCTTTCCCTGGGCACAGTTGTCTAGAGCCCTGCCCCCCCCAAGTGTCTGTCTTTAGACCAATAGTCATTAGTCTGTTTGCCTGCCTAGACCTGTATCCATAGTGTTTGGTGTCAAGTTGGGAGAAACCAACGTGGAAAATTTCATCTAGTGCATCGTAGGTGCAGTGGTTAGGTGCTCAGCTGCTAACTGAAAGGTCAGCAGTTTGAAGTCACCAGCTGCCCTGTGGGAGAAAGATGTGGTAGTCTGCTTTCATAAAGATTACAGCCTTGGAAACTCTATAAAAACTCAACTCCCTGCCGTTGAGTCGGATCCAACTCATAGTGACCCCTCCTTGGGTTTCTGAGGCAGTATCACCACAGAAGTAGATTGCCCAATCTTCCTTCTGAGGAGTGGCTGGTGGGTTTGAACCACCAGCCTTCTGGTTAGCAGTCAAATGTCTTAGGCACCATACCACCAGAGCGCCTTGAAAATGTCATAGGGCACTTCTACACTGTCCTGTAGACTTACCATGAATGGGAACGCACTTGGCGGCAGTGGGTTTGGCTTGTGTGTGCAGATAAAGTATTTATTGAATTTGAGTGACACTTTAGGGATCCTCTCACTTTAGCCATTGCAATTGTGCCTTATGTTTGGGTGGCTCTTGGTAGACCAGAATTCACTGTTCTGTCCCATGTCTCAGGACAAGCAGAATATAGCCATTATCTGAGACGTGTTTTTATTTTTATTGGGGGTGGTGGTGGTGGATGCAGTTCCTTATCATTTAGGCTCTCCCAGGGGTGGGCCATCACTGTGAACACTAAGGCAATTCTCAAACACTGAAGGGTTTAGGAATCACACAGGGATCTTGTTAAAATGCAGATGCTAATTCAGTAGCTGATTCGGGCTGAGTTGGGCCTGGGGCTATTTGTTTCTAACGAGCTCCCAGGTGACCTGGATACTGCTGGTCCATGAGGAGCGCTGGTGGTGTAGTGCCTAAGGCACTTGACTTCTAACCAGAAGGCTGATGCTTCAAACTCAACAGCCACTCCTCAGAAGGAAGATTGGGCAATCTACATCTGTAGAGATACCACCTCCAAAAACCCAAGGAGGGGTCTCTGTGAGTCAAATTGATTTGACGACAGTGAGTTTTGTTTTGTTTTGTTTTGGCGGGGAGCAGAGGTGGGCTGCCCTCCCTGCAGAGAGCTCTGGGGTGTGTTTTTGAGACATGGAGTGGAAGGAACCCGTGGTGTGTAGAGTCAGCAGACCTGCATTTGAATCACCCTGCTCCCCTCCCACCCCCTTTACTTATGGCCCTATTAGCTCAATAGGGCTTAGATACGTTGCTTAACTGTGGATACACTGGTTAATGTCTTTGAGGGATGATTTTGCATGATGGGCAGTCCTCCAAGTCTACTGCTGTGGGTCAGCCATAGGGACATCCATGAAGGTGGTGGTGGTGGTCTGAGTCCCAACAGCCAGAAGGGCAGTGGGCTACTGGCCTGGCCAGCATGGTAGGGCAATGAGCTGAAGCCGACAGGGCAGGCACAGTGCCAGCTTGGAGGCAGAGCTCATTCTGGCCTGGCCTTCTTCCCTCCTGCTTCTGGCTCACCCAGCCCTGCGTGGTGTGGGAGAGCTGGAGAGACTGGTCTGGCGGGGGAAGGAGGGGCTGCCCAAGCCCTGAATATGGGCCCAAGGGTCTGGCTGGCTAAGCCAGCCCCCGTCTGAGCAGTGGGAGTTGGAGTTGAGGCTGGGGGCTGAGAACTATGGCCTGGAGACCCTGGGATCAGGCTCTGACCCATGGAAGGGCTTCCCATCTGGGAAACTGGGAAGGATTTTGGAGTTTGGGGAGCTCCCCCAGCCTTGGGCATCTGACTTCAGGAATGAGACTTGGCAGAGTATGAGGTTCGTAGGGTACCCCTATTCCTGGTCCCCCACAAATCAGGTCAAGATGGTCCAGTAAGGCCCTTCCCAATTCCTAGGACCCGGAGGCAGCAAGGAAGCTTAACCCATTTCTCTGATGGAAGAGCAGAGACCCCCTTTTCCATCGTCCTGGGTGAGAAAATCAGCCTGCAGGTCTGTTGCCCACTACCCAGCAGGGCTTTGGTCAGGCTGGCATCCTGAATCGCATGAGGCTGCCCCTACTGGCACCAGGGGAGGGATGCCTACCCCCCTCCTGTTGCACAACTGGGCCATCTCAGCAGTTCACACCAAGGGTTCTGCAGCCACGCAGACCTGGATTCGAATCCTGGCTCCTCCACTTACAAATTGTGAGACCCTGGGCCAGTCACTCCACCCATCAGCCCCAGCTAGCTTGTCTGTAAACAGGAGTAATAACACACGCGTAAGCAGCTGTGCAGGGTTGTTGTGAAGATGAAATGAGCCCTACCCACTGAGCACTGTGCTCATTATCATTAGTCATGGCATTTAGAGGTGCAGCACACCTTACGCAGAGCCTCATTCTACAGATGTGCAGATCAGCACTTGGAGAAGGGAGGTGCTGTCTACAGTCTCACAGCTGGTAGCTGGGCCAGAACCCACATCTAGGGCCTGCTACCCATCTGCGTGAAGACACTCTGAGGTTTGCACAAAGGTCAGCCCGGGATCTGCGGGGTCAAGTGGCTGTGGCAGGGACACAGCAGCGTCTCTCTTTTACAGCACCAACCATGAACTATGTGGGACAGATGGCAGGGACACAGCAGCGTCTCTCTTTTACAGCACCAACCATGAACTATGTGGGACAGCTGGCAGGGACAGTGTTTGGGACAGTGAAGGAGCTGTACCAGGGCCTGAACCCGGCCACGCTGAGCGGTGGCATCGATGTGCTGGTGGTGGAACAGGAAGATGGCTCCTTCCGCTGCTCACCCTTCCACGTACGCTTCGGCAAGCTGGGTGTCCTGCGGTCAAGGGAGAAGGTGGTAAGTGCTGGCTGGCTGAGGTGGCAGTCACAGAGTGGGCTTTGGAAGCGAGGAGCAGCCACTCCGGTGGCAGGAGAGGACCCAGGCTTCCCTTAGTTGGACATGCGTCCCTTCTTTTGTATTTTCTTTGAAGGTTCTTGGGGTGGTTTGAGGTTTTAAGGGGGTTCCTGTTTTCCTGTGGCAGCAGCACAGTGGGGCAGACCCTGGTTCTTAATGAGTTGGAGTCAGGTCTGAGACACACATACCTGTGTGTTCTTGATGAGTCACTTCCTGTCTCTGAGCCCAGATACTTCACCTATACAAATAGATACAATCTCATCTCCCTGGTGTGGTGGTGGGATGGTTTGGGAGGATCAGTGGGAGCTGATAACACTGTCCCTGGGCAGGTATGTGGTGACACTCTAAGTGCCCCTTGGCATACACTCCCATAGCAAACCCTCACTGTCTGCCCGGAGCCCAGGTGAACATGAGAGAGATTTTTGTCCACACTGAGGTCTTGTGGATGAATAGAAGTTTTGATGGACCCAAATCTCCTTCACACTGGGTAGCTATGAACTTTCTAGAATCCTAATGGGAAACTGTATGTGACCTTGTGGGAGACAGCTAAGTGGTTAAGAGCCAGGGTTGTACACTCAGACTTTCTGGGCTCATATTTTCCCTTAGCCCCCACTCAGTGGATTACTTAACCCTTCTGAGCCTCGATTTTCTCACCTATAAAATGAGGATTGTGACAGGGCTACTTCATGGGTTGACGTGAAGGTTAAATGAGACAGTCTATACAAAACACCATACAAAGTGCCCAAAACCAAACTCACTCCCATCGAGTTGATTCTGACTCATAGTGACCCCCACTGAGTTTCCATGGCTGTACATTTTTATGGAAGTAGATTGCCTCATCTTCCTCTCGCAGCAGCTTGTGGGTTTGAACCATTGACCTTCTGGTTAGCAGCCAAATGCCTTACTCACTGCACCACCAGAGCTCCTTACATAAAGTGCCCAGTAAATGGAAATTCTTACCATCATTCATGCACTCATCAAATGTGCGGGCACTGTCCTAAGGGCTGGGGATACAGGGGTGACCAGATAGATTATGTCTGTGTTCTTGTGGGGTATGGGAAAGAGAGGAACATGGAAACAAAGGAATCAGCAAGATTCCTGACTGAGACAGTGATAAGTGCAATAAAGCCCAGAGAATGGGGTGACAGGTGAGGGAAAGGGCATGCCAGCTCAGCACAGGCCTCTCTGAGGAAGGAGAGAGAAGAGACCCTCACTGGGGGAGGAGCCGGGCACACAAAGGTCTGGGGACAGAGAGTCCCACAAGTGCAGGGTACTGCTGGGAGGCTGGTAGGCTGGCACCAGGGAGTGAGGCCCTGCCTCACCAGGCTCCACCCCATCACACCCTACTGCAGGTCGACATCGAGATCAATGGGGAGCCTGTGGACCTGCACATGAAGTTGGGGGACAGTGGGGAGGCCTTCTTTGTCCAGGAGCTGGAGAGCGATGAGGTAAGTGCTGCTGCTCCAGCCAGCACCTACCCTCCCACCTGCACTGATGCCCCTCTGGGGAGGGCCTTGAGGTTTGTCACTGCCCCTGCCCTTGGGAGCACTCCCTGGTGCAGGGCAGCGGGCTGGGGCTGGCCTCAGGCACTAGTTACATGCTGTCAGAGCCCAGGGAGGGGGATGGGCTGAGTCTGTTCCCTGTAAGCTGGGAGAGGCTGGCTTCTCAGGAGGGAAATAGCTGGGCTGGGCCCCTGGAGGATAGAAAGGGAGCATTCCCCAGGCAGCTTAGAGAGGAGGGTGCTAAGGACTGGCTAGCGGGCTGGAGAGCATAAGGCAGGCTTGTCCAAGGGGTAATCTGGAGAGGGTTGTCTGGAGAAAGGAGACAAAGCCCAGCTCAAACCAATAAAGGTGTTTAAACAGTTTTGAGCTTGACAAACTTGAATGGAGCCCTTTCTGTGTGCTGGATACTGTGCAGTGAGCTTGAATGACATGACCATTGTCCTCAAGAAGGTTCCCAGACTAGTTTGGGAAACAGATAAAGAAGGGATGGATGATGGAATAACATGGCCATCACAGTGAAGGGAGTTGGCAGTAGGGCTGGTGATGATCAGGGCAGGCTTCCTGGAGGAGGTGATGACACCTGGGCTGAGTCTTAAAGGAGAAGTAGGTGCCGCTGTGATAGATGTGGGCAGAGAAGGAGATGAGAGGATGATGGCCAGGGTTCTGCCTGGAGCCATGTGGAGGTACAGCACCCTACCTGCGGGTTTATAGGGTGGGTCCATGGGACTGGGGCTGTCTCTCCCTGTTAGGGAGCTCAGAGGCCAGCAGCTGCAAAGCTGTGTTGCTACACTGTTCTGGTTACCTAGTGCCACTCTGACAGGAATATACCACAAATGGAATGACTGAACAAACAGGAGTTTAATCTCTTACAGTTCGGAAGGCTTAAAGTCCAAGTTCCAAGTGCCAGGCCCTGGGGGCTGGGTGAAAGCCCCTTGACCTTGGGCTTCAGCTCTGCCTCTTGCTCCTGGCCCACTGAAGCTAGAGGCATCTCTCCACTCACTGCTAGCTGCTGAGGCTGACAAACCCAAAGATGACAAGTGAAAAGGCACAGTCCCAATGTTACCAAACCACGTGGCAGGCCATGTTATTCCATTCAAGTCTGTTCAAAGTCCCAAGGTCAGCAGAGCACAGCAGGGTTAAAGCGTGCCATAAGCTAGAGACCACTCCCCAAGGTTTCTCCTTATATACAGGAAGCAGCCCACATCCCTAAGGCAGCTACTCAGCTGCTCACAGTAGATTCCACCATGGAGTTGGTTACCAGTCTCATCATGGGGAATGCTACATCCAGCTGCCCAACCACTCAACCAGGCCCAGCCAAGTTGACACACACACTTAACTACCACACACACTGTCTGTCCATCCTCTGCGGCTGTCTTCCAGACTCCATGTGAGATCACTGCAGGGCCTGGGATCCAGACAGGGTTCAGGGTGACTGGCTGGGCCCCAAGCTCTAGCCCCCTCAGCTGTGCCCCGATATGCTCCACAGGAACACGTGCCCGCTCGCCTGTGCACCTCGCCCATCCCTTGGGGGGGCCTGTCTGGCTTCCCCTCGGACTCCCAGCTGGGCACAACCAGTGAGCCTGAGGGCTCTGCTGTGGTGGGTGTGGCCTCCACAGGGCGGAAGAAGAGGCTCCGCAGGAGGAAACCCAGGCGGAAGGAGGACACTGTGGTCAATGAATCAAGTTCGGAGGAATTGGAGGCAGCCACCGAGAGTGGGCTGTCCCTGCTGGAAACGCCAAGGCCGGAGCCCTCAAGGTGTGTGAACACCAGGTAGGAACCCAGGGACTAAGGACAGCAACCTGGGGTTTGAGTGCTAGTAGTTCCTCTGATGCTGTGTGACCCCTGGGCAAGACCTCTCTGGGCCTTGGTGGTTCACCTCCCCAAGTCCCTGACTCTTAGGCTTTGGTACCCTGCTCAAGGTGCCCTATCAGTGATCATTTCCCTGTGGCCCTTCAGCAGTGTCCAGTTGGAAGGGGAGTCCTCACCGCTGCCTAAAGACATCTACCCCTACTCTGATGGGGAGTGGGCCCCTCAGACCAGGTAAGAGTCTCCAAGCCAAGGTCTCACAGTGGTTTTAGTTTGCACTGTTCTGATGACTAATGATATAAACACGTTAAATGTGCTGACCTGCCGTTTGTATGGCTTCTTTGTAAGGTGTTTGTTCAAGTCTTTTGCTAATTTTATTTTTTTTACTGGTTTACTTTCTGGTAGCTCTGGTAGCATAGTGGCTAAGACACTTGACTGCTAACCAGAAGGCAGGCGGTTCAAACCCACCAGCCACTCCTCGGAAGGAAGGTTGGGCAATCCTACTTCCGTAGTGATACTGCCTCGGAAACCCAAGGAGGGGTCGCTATGAGTCGGGGCCGACTCGACGGCAAACAACAACTTTCTTATTGTTGATTTGTGGGTGCTCTTTATATACTTACATATTTACATATTCTTTATGTATTTTGGATCTAACATAGGCATTATATGAGTTGCAAATATTTTTTTCCCAGGCTGAGGTGGGTACCAGGGGGTACCTGGCTGGCACAGGGACCACTGAGCTTTTGTTTCCTACAGCCTCACGTCAGATGGGCTGATAGCCCTTAAAAGTGACTCAGAGCTGGAGCTGCGGGCCTTGGAGCCTGGCCCTCTGAGAGCCGAGTCCCACATGCAGTGGTCCTGGGGAAGGCTGCCTAAGGTGAGTTCTTCTACATTAAGCCCCAATCCCTGCCTTTCAGGCTCTGTGGCCTGTGTGAGTCAGGATTGGAATGACTAAGACTTGGGCTGCCTCCCCAAGGCCTTCCAGGGCATGGAAGGCAGAACCTGCCCAGATCCACATCTTCCCCCATTTGTTTGCCTAAAGGTGGCCAAAGCTGAGCAGTCCGAGTGTTCGGTGTTTCCTGCAGGCAACACCAAGGTAACCTTTCCTCCTCGGGGAGGGCCCAGCACCCTCTCTGTCTCTGTGGCTGGCATGGACCCTTTGGGATCCCCAATCCTACACACGGGGGCTGGCGTCCCTCCCCGCACACCAGAGAGTGAGGAAACCAAGACTCAGAGTTCCAGGGACATGCATTTCCCTCCTGCCTCGAAATCATGGAGCTTGGCAGCTCTGGAGGTCCCAGTTCCTGCAAGGCCACCAGCAGCGATCTGTAGGGCAAAAGCTGAGTGATGTCTGGGCCCTGCCCACTACTTCCCTAGCCTTGGGTTATCCCCTGGGTCAATCTGGGACTTCAAGCATGTTTTGAGCAACAACTACGTGCCAGCCATCGTGCTGAGCACCAACACTCTTAGAGCTCACACTCCAGGTTGGGAGGACAGACAACACCTGCATAAATAAGGAAGAGTGTGGTGTGGGTAGTGGGAGAAGGGGTAACTAATTGAGATGGGGGTGGGTATTTAAACTGTGTGGTCAGAGAAGGCCTCTTTGAGTGGATAATGTTCGAGCAGAGATGTGGAAGATCCATCCAAGAGAGGATTGTTGTGAGTAGTTGTCATCTCTGATTGGTAGAGACCCCACATACAACAGTGAAACATTGCCCAATCCCGTACCAATTTCATGATTGTTGGTATACTTGAGCCCATTTTTGCAGCCACTGTGTATCTTGGATGTCTTCTAACCCAGGGAACTCATCTTGTAGCACAGCATCAGGTATTACCCTGTTGTGATTCATAGCATTTTCACTGTCTAATTTTCAGTAGCGTAGTGCCTAAGGCACTTGACTGCTAACCAGAAGTCTGGTGGTTCAGACCTCCCTGCCACTCCTCGGAAGAAGATTGGGTGATCTACTTCCTTAGTGATACCACTTTGGGAACCCAAGGAGGGGTCACTATGAGTCAGGTCTGACTCAACAGCACATAACAGCAACAACAACAATTTTCAGAAGTAGATTGCCACCCTTTTCTTCCTAGTCTATCTTTGTCTGGAAGTTCTGCTAAAACCCGTCCACCAGGGGCAACCCTGCTGGTATTTGAAATACTGGTGGCATGGTTTCCAGCATCATTGCACCATGCTAGCCACCACAGTATGACTAACTGACAAAGTGAGGAATAGGGGGAAAGAATTCTAGGCAGAGAGAACAAAGTGTGTCAAGGACATGAGATAGGAGAGAAGTTTCATGTTCTGGGAACCAAGGGGGTCAACGAGTCTCAAGTGAGGCAGGGGAAAGGGCTGGGAGGAAGCTGGTGAGATGAGGGGAGTCCAGGCCCTCCGAGCTCAGAGCTAGGGCTTACTCTAGGAGTGGAGGAAAGGCACTCAGCTTGGGGCTGCCCAAATCAGTAGCCACTGGCTATAGGTGGCTACTTAAAATTGAATTAAAATGAAAGAAAGTTAAAAATTCAGTTTCCCTGTCTCTCACCAACCACATTTCAAGTGCTCAGTAGCTGTATAGGCAAATGGCTACTATATTGGACAGCAGAGACATGGAAACTTTGCATCATTGTTGAGAACTCTGTCGGATAGTGCTGCCATAGAGGCTTCAGGGGTGAAAGAGGCAGAGCCACTCAGAGTGTTGAGCACCTGCTGGGTCTAAGGTGTCCCCTCCTCTGCCCTCAGGCTCCCTGAAGAGAAGCCAGCACCTGGGCCCCAGCGACATCTACCTTGACGACTTACCCTCCCTGGACTCTGAGAATGTAACCCTTTACTTTCCTCAAAGGTGCCTGGGTCCTGAGTACCTGAGCTGTCTTGGGTCTAAGACACATAGAGTCCTCCATCAAGGGGCTGGGGGAGTAGGGACCCTCCTTCCAGCCTCCTTGTATTCATGTCACCATTGGCTTATTTGTCCCCAGTGATTGTGGGCTGGGGGCAAGGAGGTGGAGTGAACCTAGCAACCAGAAACTCCTAAGGGATCCGAACCCTGAACATGTACCAGAACCCAGTCTGGACACAGTGGACACAATAATGCTGTCCCTCTGTGGGGGACTGGCTGACAGCCGGGACATCTCCCTGGGTATGTGTGACCATGGCTGGAGACATTTTGAGGATCACTGCTAAGCCCAGGGGACCGGGAGGGGGGGCATGTCAGTGAAGATCCTAGTGCATGGTGGTGACAGAAGTGTGAGTCTGGTCTGGGCCTCCCTGGCTGTCTCTGTTCTGTGGACCTTCCTCTTCGCCAGCTAGGGTGGGTGCTCCCAACTTAATGAGAAGCAAATGTTCAGCATTGAGTGGTAACAATGCAAATCCAGGGTGAGCAGGTACCCAGGGTAGGGACAGCAGATGAGAAAGCCACAAGGTAGGGAGGAGCCTGCTGGACCAAGCCCTGACTGGCAGGACCTGTATGTAGTTAAGAGTCAGGGTCTTATGGGTCTGCCAGCCTCCCCCTTATTCCCTGCCTCTGTGCCCAGACAAGTTCAGCCAGCACATGGTCTCCTACCAGGACCTTGCCGAAAACCCCAGCCTCCTGGAGGACCCCAACCTTGTGGTGAAAATCAATGAGAAGTGAGTACCAGGGCTGGCCTCCTGGCCACCCATGAGTCCTCCCACCCCCAGGACCCTGTTGTTATTGCACCCCCCACAGCCCTGTTTCTTCTCTCCAGGCATTATAACTGGGCTGTGGCTGCCCCCATAATCCTCTCCCTGCAAGCCTTCCAGAAGAACCTGCCCAAGGTAATGATCACCATTGGGCCTGCTAGGGAAGTGGCCATAGCCTTGGAGTGGGGAATCCTTGGCAAGGAAGTGGAGGGTGAACAGAGATGGTCCTGGAGGAGGAGACTGTTCCCCTCAGCCTTGACCTTAGCCCGTAAGGACAGAGTCTCATCCTTCCTGGTTTCCTGGCCATGGCTGAATCCTATTGGACTGAATCTTACTGGATTGTCTGAATCCTATTTGGATTTTTCAAAGGGGCTCAGGACTCACCAGAAGGGCATCCAACAGGGATGTGCTTTCCATGGGAGGTTTCTGGCTCAGAGAGACAAAGGCCCCCACTCTTCATCTTGCCCTGAGAAACCCTCCTGGCTGAGCTGGGGGTGTTGCTTTCTTTATTAACATCCAGTGCGTGTTGAGTATCTAATTTGCACCAGGCCCAGGCTGGGGACAGTCACAAACTAAACAGAAACAGTCCCCACCCTTACAGGAAGACAGAGTTAATCAGAGTCACCAGATGAATATATAATTCAGTTGCCAATGCTGGGGAGGAGTGGTCTGGGGTACTTTGAGAGCCACATAGGGGTTTGCTGTGGAAATGCCCACTGGGCTGAGATCTGAGGATGAGCAGGCTGTAACCAGGAGAGGGGCAGGGAACAGCACATGCAGATGTGCAAAGGTGGGAAGGAACGTGGCCTTTTCAGTCCCCTCAGAACCTCTACCCTGGTCCTCCTAGGCCACCTTCCCTCACTCTTGGAGAACAATGCCTTCCAGGCCAACAACAGCCTGTACAAACCTGCCCCTCTGGGAGCCATTCATAGCCCCACTATGGTCTGACCCATTGTTTTTGGCTCATTGGGCTTGCTCAAAGAACATCACCAACTGGACACAGACAGCTGGTGCCTCCCTTAGGTGATACTCAGTTCCTTCCCCTGGTATTCTTGGTCAACTCTGAGTCTGTGCATAGGGCCTCTGTGAAGGAAGGGCATCACTCCCTGGTTGGCTCTCTTCACCTTACCCAGATAGACCACCACTTGAGGGCCCTGGGGGACTCCCCAAGCCCATTTCCCGCTCAGGTGAGCACACAGGTCAACCTACCCTGAGCCCATGTTTTCCTGACCTGAGTTCTCCCTTCTACATCTGTAGGATGTTGTATCTCCCAGATGGACCTTGGCCTGGGCTCTCCCTGAAGCTATCTAGTACAAATCTAATGAATACATTTCACCAGGTCATATTGACCAGTCAGGCAGTGATGGTGTCATACAGACAGGGAGGCTGTTCGTAGGATACGATCATTGACCTTAAGAGGTTAAGCAAAGTATTGGCCATAGACTGTCCTTCCTGCTACTGCTCGGTGACATTACGCAAGGAGCACTAGATTTTGAGAAACCCTCAAAACACTTCCTTTAGTTACTCTAGTAACCACAAGACAGGGAGGTCAGGTCAAGGCTGGGCTAAGATGAGGGGGCTTGGGTGGGGGCAAGAATGACCTCTGGTCGCCTGTGCATAGCTCTATGAGTCATTGCTTAGAATCCCAGGATGGAGGCAAGTGTACTTCCTCAGCTTCCAGAGGTTGACAGCACCTTGCTCTAGGGTCACCCCAGACCCTGGGCACACAGGGGGCCCCAAGGGCAAAGTGACGTCGGTTTGTGTTGTTCAGGAAAAAAATACCATGGCATTCATCTGCCCACAGAACACTGTGGACAAGCTGGAGAAGGACAAGATGCCCCGGAAGGGTGGGCGGTGGTGGTTTTCCTGGCGACGCAAAGACTTCCCTGATGAGGAGGTAGGTGGTTGTGATTGTGGGGCGGGGCCGGTCCTGGGCGGGGAGTGAGGTTCACTGGGCTGATGTTCTTCCCACAGCTCAGTGCCCAGACGGAGAAGAGCACAGTCAGGGAGGAGCGGAGGTGAGTTCGACCTTCTGGTTGGAACTCTGCAGCTGGGGCTGCAGAAATGTCCTTTTCCCAGAGAAATGTCCTTTTCACAAATGGGAAAACTGAGACCTAGGGACACACCAAGTCCCCCAGTCATGAAATGGCAGAGGTGGAACAGACATCCAGACTCCCGGCCCTTCAGTCCCTGGAGGAGCAGGGCTGCCCCCACCCCAGCCTGCACTTGCTGATTGACCTTGCTTCCTTCTTTTGCCTCTGAACTCCCAGGAAACCAAACCCACTGCTGTTGAGTTAATTCCAACTTATAGCAACCCTCTAGGACAGAGTAGAATTGTCCCATAGGGCTTCCAAGGCTATAAGTCTTCACAGAAGCAGACTGCCACTCTGTTCTGCCAAGGAGTGGCTGGTGGGTTTGAACTACCAACCTTTCAGTTAATAGCCAAGACATTAACCTCTTCCCCTCTGAAGTGACCCAGAATGTCTGAGGTTGGATGGGGTGACTCAGGATAGGCCAACTGAAGCCAAATTGGGTGTGAGTAGGAATAAAACCTAGCAAGCATTTATAGACTCTTCATGTAAGTGCTTCCAAGGCAGGGTCTGGTGTCCTTGACTGTGGAGGGTGCACACTGAGCGTTGGGACCCCTGCATCTTGGTTCTAGCTCTGCTGTCACACATGGGCCAGTTCGTGTGTCTGCCACCATCAGTGGATGGTGGTTAGTGGGACAAACCCTGATAGCTTGGGCTGTCTGGAGAGACAGGCGAAGGCCTTGTGGCCTGGGCCAAGGGTGCGTGTCTCTTGGGAATGAAGGGCCCTCAGCTGGTGGGAGGTCATCTGAGTACCTGGACTGGCTGCAGGGAGAAGGCAGATGCTCTGAGCAGCGAGGATGATGGCCCAGACAGCCCTGTGATCCTTGAGGCCCCCTCCCTACCACCCTCACCTCCGGCCTTCATTCCCACCTACAAGAAGTCCCTCCGCCTCTCCTCCGAGCAGATCGTAAGTGTGTACACATGTGTTTTTTCTGTGTGTGGCGATGGCTGGGCTTAGACCATTCTGTCCCAGAGTCCTTCAGCACCACGGAGCCATATGGTCACCAAAGGCCAGAATCCATCCCTTGACAGCCTCCCTGAGGGCCTCTGCTTGGATACCTCCAGGGCTAGGGGACTTACTCCTGCACAAGCCAGCCCACATGTCTGTCACATGCTCTGATTGACAAGGCCTTCTCTTATGTCATCCTGAAATCTCTACCTTCAGTGGGCCAGCTGGCTAGGGTTGTGCCCTTGGAAGCCATATTTCAGGAGCCAAAGGCCTCTCAGATTGTGGCAACTCTGGTCTCCCAGGTCACATCTTCTGAGCGCAATGACTAATATCTCCATAGTCAGGGAGGTGCCTGGAGGGTCCAGCCAGCCCCACACAGAGCAAGATGCCATCTGCTTGGTACCCTAGGGGTTCACACCCCTCCTGGAGTCAGTCAGGACCCTGAAGCCGTGCTCACCTGGTTTTGGCTGAGTACTGCCCTGCCCTCTCTGTGGATCATGTACAGGGCTAGGTCTCTCCAGGGGAGTGTTGAGGGAGGTAGCCTAGCCCTGGGCAGGAACTGCCATGAAGATTCCTGTAGGGCCTCCATCTATGGAGCTGGGTCTCCTGGCAAGAGCAGTACCGCTACCATTGGGGTAACCAGAGAACCCTGGGTGGGGAGTCAGGGCCAGGCTGTTTGCAAGTTTCATCTTGAAGGGGGCATGAAGGGAGATTAGGGCTCCTGTGTGCCCCCAGCAGTGCTCCTTCGCTGCCCCTCACAGCTACCCTCTGCCCCCATGGATGTCTGTGTGCCTGTCTCTGAGTTGTTCAGGAAAGTTCTCTGAATTGGGAGAAAGTGGTGAATGGGAAGTTTGTGAGGATAAAGACCACAGCACGGGTCCCAAACGAGAGGGTTGGCCATGCCTGGCTGCAGCTGGTCACAACTCCCCCTTTGCCTGGCCAGAGGCAGCTGAACCTACAAGAAGGCAGCAATGACGTGGTTTTCAGCGTGACCACCCAGTATCAGGGCACCTGCCGCTGCAAGGCCACCATCTACCGGTGGAAATGGAATGACCAGGTGGTCATCTCTGACATCGATGGCACCATCACCAAGTGAGGCCCAGCCAGCTGTGGGGAAGGGGCCTGGGGATCCGTTTCCCTTTGCCCATCTGGAAGGGCACAGTGGGGCCATACCTTTGGAGGATGAGGGCAGTGGGGCTGCTTTGGAGTGACCCTTCCTCTCTGGCTCTAGGTCGGATGCTCTGGGCCACATACTGCCCCAGTTGGGGAAAGACTGGACCCACCAGGGCATCACAAGTCTCTACCACAAAATCCACCAGTGAGTGCCCAGGGAGGGGCACGGCAGGGCTGGGCCCCAGCTGTGGGTGGAGTAACAAGAAGCCTCAGGCCCTGTGGCCTCTGCTCCAGGAAGCTGAGCTTGGGGCAGGGCCAGGGCCAGGGCCAGGTCCCCATCCCCATCTGTGGGAGGGAGTGATGAGCCTTGGTCTCTGTCGGGCCAACCTGGTCTTGGTCTAGAGAAGTGGGTGTGGGGGACTGGCAGGCTCATCAGAGGAGAAGCTGGGGCAGGTTCCTGGAAAGCTAAGACCTACCTACTGGCCTCAGTTCTGTGAGCAACTCATCTCCCTGGGGCTGGGTTCCAAGATCTGAGTCTAACTGCTGGCCTTCCTGCTGTTGGGGTGGCCCACAGACTCATCAGAGCTCTCATGGCCCTCAGGACTCAGTCTGTGCTCCTGCGAGCTGGGACAGCCGCCAAGGCCACCTCTCAGGCTCCTCCGAGCAGTTCTTCCTGAGTCCCCTCCCAGCAAAGGCCTCTGGATTTGGAGGCTGGAGGCCCAGGGCTGACCCAAAGCTGAGAGGATGGGATGAAGGAAGTCTGGTCTCTGATGGTTCTATGGCACCCCCACTCCCACCCCCACCCCCAGAAATGGATACAAATTCCTGTACTGTTCTGCGCGGGCCATTGGCATGGCTGACCTCACCAAGGGGTACCTGCAGTGGGTAAGCGAGCGGGGCTGTGGCCTCCCCAAGGGCCCCATTCTGCTGTCTCCAAGCAGCCTCTTCTCCGCCCTCCACAGGTAAGCACAATACGAGCTCATGGCCCCTCCACGGGACGGCTGGGCCCACTGCCAGCCCAGGCCAGGCCAGCACTGTGCCTTGGGTGTCAGCTGAGGTCTGGGTCCAGGCCCACGCTTGCCTGAGCCCGCTTCCCCTCTGGCTTTCACCCCTTTCCTGCCTGTGACCCTGGCTGCCCCAGAGAGGTGATTGAGAAGAAGCCGGAGGTGTTCAAGATCGCCTGCCTGAGTGACATCCAGCAGCTGTTTCTGCCCCACGGACAGCCCTTCTATGCAGCCTTTGGGAACCGGCCCAATGTGAGATGCCCCAACCCTGCCAGCTGAGCTGTCTCCTCCCCACCTCCCAGCTAGCCTCTGTTCAACCGGACCCTCCCTGTCCCCCACAGGATGTCTTTGCCTATCGGCAGGTGGGCCTCCCTGACTCTCGCATCTTCACGGTCAATCCACGGGGAGAGCTTATCCAGGAGCTCGTGAAGAACCACAAGTCCACGTGAGGCCAAACCCTGCCCCATGTCCCCTAGGCCTGCCCTGTCCCCTGCCCTAGCCTCTCCCTGGGCCCCCATCCCACCTCCCTGCTTGAGACTCTGTCCCCTGCCCTGGGGCTCCCAGGAATGATGTAAAGTGTATGCCTGACATGGCAAGGCCATGGCCTGCTGACCACTCAGACTCTCAGTGCCTGCCCCATTCTGCCAATAGGTACGAACGGCTTAGCGAGGTGGTCGAGCTCATCTTCCCTCCTGTGGCCCGTGGCCCCTGCATGGACCTGGCCAAGCCAGAATACAGCACCTTCTGCTACTGGCGGAAGCCCCTGCCAGCTGTGGACCTGGATGTCCTGGCTTGAGCCGCCCCTGCCTCTCTGGGTATCCCAAGACATAGGGGTAGAAATGGGGTACCATGGGGCCATCACACTGAAGGGTAGGAGGGAGCTGTGGACTGGTTGACAGACATAGAGATCCACCTTCTCCATGTCCTGTCTCTTGCCTTGCCTGATACAAGTGGCAGGGGACAGGAAAAACGCTCCAGGCCTCAGCATGGCCCTGGCAGGGTTCTCTGTGCCCCTGATGTCTCTGTTCCTGTCACCCTGGGGCCCTGGCTTAACTCCTGATGGGCAGAGAGAAACGGAGCAACCTGAGGCTGGAGGCCTCACGAGCAGGTTGGGGGCTGCTCTGGGAAGGGAACTCATTGCCCCCTACCCCATCCCCAGGAGCCTGGACTCTACCCTGTGAAGCAGGCCTTTTACAGGAGCCCAGGCCCCACCCCCATCCCTGCCTCTCCCTTGCTGGTATCTCAGCACATGAGGCCACCCCAACCCTGGGCACTCGGTGCCCCAAACCACCAGTAGCAAGGAAGGAGGGTTCCCAGACAGTAAAAGGGCTATGGGAGTGTGGCCTCCACCCAGCTGCCTGCCACCCTTCCTCCTCTCAGCACCTTCCCTAAAGATTCCACATGAGCCCTACAGGGCAGGTGGATATTGGCCTGGCTGTCCTCCCCTAGCCTTTGCCACCAGTTCTGGGCTCACACAGCTGCTGAAAGCTGTTGCCCCAGGAGCTGTGGGAAGCAGGGCTGACACCCACTGCAACCCCCTCCCTGCCCCCACCCCGATCACTGGTGAACACAGTACCTTCAGATGGGTGAGAAGCTTTAATCCCGAGCCTGCCCTCCCCCAACAGTTCAGAGTGGAGGACAGAATGTTGAGGCAGGGCTGTGGGGACCTACAGGACAGCACACCAGGGCTTCTGCTGCTGTGGGGGAAACCGAGGCAAGGAGCTGATCAGACATGGGCGTGAAGTCCCTGGGAACACCTGTGTTCAAGTTGTCCCTCCATATTTTTGTACCTGAATTTCACACCATTGTGAAATCCTGGAGGGACTAGAGTTTTGTAAGGTATGGCGAGCAAGGCCTGACCCCCTTTCCCTCCAGCTGTGGCCTCCTTCCTAAGGCCTGGCCACATTCAAGCTATGATGTATACAAAGGAAAGACAGACACACAGAGAGAAAGACAGACAGAGGAGAGACAGAGGGAGAGGCAGGCCCTAACCTGGGGGGAAAGATCTTCCCCAAAAGTGGGAGGAAGGGGACCATGTGGAGCCAGAGTGCCCTGAAATACCTCAGGGGAAGCAAAGGAAAAGGGTAACTTGGGGGTGGGGTCCCCAAACACATTACCTGGACCCAGTCCTGCCCTCTGAAAGTCTCCAGCTGCCTACGCCCTCACTTCGGGGGAGGATCCGAAGGAATAAGGGCACTCAACGGCGATGTCTCTCTGTTTCCATTCCGTCCTGGAGGACCTGTGAGGAGCTGGAGCTCTCCAGCAGGCCCTGCCCCTTGGCGCAGGGACAGTAGTCCTGAAGCTGCTATGTGTGACAAAAGTTCTGAAGGCATCACCTTCCTGTGCAAGCCCAGCCCTGATGGCCAGAGATGGAAGCCAACGGTAGAAGGAAGGAATCATGAGTGGGGCCGAGGGAACCAGAAGCCCCCATGAGCCGGAGTCTATTGCCTGTGGGCAAAGAGAGACATGGACAGAGCCGCTGTATGAGAACCCAACTGTAGGTCTCTGCAGAGTCCAGTAGGACTCTGATGTGTCTGCAGAAGAGCAATTTGCAGACCATGGAATTAAGGTCTCCCATGTCTACTCCGGCCTTTAGGTACAACATTCTTGCCTTGACCACTGTTCTGTGTTGTCTACTTTGTGCGGTACCGAGTGTGGATTTTGGTGGCTGGTATAGTCAAGTGGTGCTAGGCCAAGCCCATTTCTTCTGTGGCCTCTGAAGTGGCATCCACACTGGGGGAGGCTGGGAGGCACAGCTGTGCAAGGGTGGCTCTGGCATGCCATTCCCAGGGCTGATGGGCTCTGTGGGATGGGTCCTGTCCGCCCACTAGTTGGCTTGCCCTGGCCGCAACCATTCAGCCAGCTGGGCCCGGCAGTCCAGCAGGTCATCCTGAAGGCGGGCAATGTCCTGCGTGTGCTGGGCCAGCGTGCGGTTCAGCTGGGTCACGTGGCCCCACAGGCCCTCTCTGGACATATACGGCTCACTGGACAAGCTGTCCGGGCCTGAGGCCAGGAGGCCCAGCCTCCCACATGCATCCTCCACTTGCGCCACCCTCTGGTCAAAGTGGTCCACTGCATGCTGGAGTTCCTGGGCTATGTCCCGGCAGCGGCTCAGCCCACTGGCCACATTGGCCACACCAGCCTTGAGCAGCTCCAGCTCTCCCTGCAGGCTCAGGACTTGCCGGTGGTCAGCCCGAAGTCGCAAGCCCTGGCTGCTGACCTGCTCCTGAATGGCGTGGACCTCGGCTTCCACTTTGCGTTCCCGCTCATCCAGGGACGAGTTGGCGGCTGCAAAGGCATCCGAGTACTGGCTGACGGAGTCACTGAGGCCTGTGAGCGACTTGCTCACTGAGTTCAGATTGACCTTGAGCAGGGTGATCTCACCCTGGATCGAGCTGCCTGTCACGTCTGCCAGCTGCCCTTGGACCTTGGCCACGGTGCCATTGAGCTGTCGGAGCAGGGCTGTGTGGCTGGCCACCTGGCGCAGGAGGGCCTCGCTTCGGCTTTGCCAGGCCTTCACCTCTGCCATGAGGTTGTCCAGGATGGCTGAGGTGGTGCTGGGGGTGCACGAGGTCTCCAGGGAGACCAGCCGTTGTTCCAGCACGGCCAGCTCTGTCTGCACGAGGGGCTGTGGAGACCTGCCCGGCAGGGCGCTATCGTGGTTCAGCTCCCCAGCCAGCGTCACCAGGCGCTCCTCCAGGCTCTGTACCCGCTCTTCCAATGTTGCCCCAAAGCCACCCACACCCCATTCCCCCTCCTCCACCCCCAGACAGCAACCCCTCACTCCACTCTCTGTTCCATTGAGGGTCTCCAGGCCCTCGAGCTGCCCATCAATCATGGCAGCAGAGAGCGGAGTGACATCACCCCCAGACGGAGGGTCATGACCCCTTTGGGCCTCGGTGACCACTTGTAGGTTTCGCTCGAGGCTGTCCACACGGGCGCTGATTAGGCCCAGCTGGCCACAGCAGCTGCCCCTGCCAGCCACACTCAGGCCTTGCAGCCGGATGCCCAGCTGGGAGAGCTCCTGGCGCAGAGCCAGCTCCCGGCCATCCAGACTCTGATGCAGCCTCTGGCTGGCCGCCTGGCCCTCCTCACACTGCCGCTGCACCTCCTGCACTCGCAGGTCGCACTCACTCTGGATGCCCTGCAGCTTCTGCTCGAAGCCATCCAGCAGCCCACCCCAGAGCTGGTGCAGCCGGCGGTCTACGTACTCCTCCAGCAGGGCCAAGGAGGTAAGGGGAGACGGCGGGGCCTCCCGTAGCCGCTGTAGGTGAGCCTCGTGACCCAGCACCAGCCCGTGCACCTCGTCCAGCAGCTGCGTCTTGGTCTGCAGAGCGTTGCTCACTGCTGTCACCTTGTTCAGAATCTCATCCAGAGGAGGTGTGAGTGGCCTCCTGGCTCTGTCTCCCGGGCCCACAAACCCCTCAGGGATGACCCCAAAACCCACAGAAGCAGCAGGAGCCCTGGGGCCACCTATCCTGTTGGGGTCTTCGTGGTGGGCCACCAGGCCACTGAGGGTACCATACGCTTGTGCCAGGCGTTGGACATCACCCTCCAGGCGCTCCAGCCGCTCACCAAGCAGCCCTGGCCCTTTCCTTCCTGGGAAACAGGAGGAGAGAACCCCAGGGTGTTTCTCAGCTCATCGCGTCCTTCAGCTGCTGCAGGTTTTCTGTTCTAAGCTGACCCCTGCCTTGGGGACGGGTCCTGGGGCTCACCCTCATGCCTGTTAATCAGTGCATCCTCCCCAACCCAACCAGAGACCAGGCCCTTGGGTCAGTCCCCTTCCCACCACCCCCACTGAGCCGAAGAAACTGATAACCCTGATAAGGTCTCCGTGGGCAGACTCACCGTGGGGGCTAGGGGCCACTCTGCTGTAAGGAGGGGGCCTAGGGCCTGGGCTCAGCTGCCCCGAAGGAATTTGAGGCTCAGGCTCTGGCTGGGGTGGGGTGGCCCCGTGGTCAGTAAGGTGCTCAGGGCAGCTTTTTCCAGTGAGGCCAGGGCAGCAACGCCAGGCGATGTCTGTCACTGTCTTGTAGCCGATCTTGTATTTGGGTCTGAGCACTGTGCGGTACCTGAGCCCAAGATGGGGAGAGAGTAGGGGGCAGGAGCTGGTTGCATGCAGCCTAGCTCTGCCCCAACCTCAGCACCAGTCCTGCCCTGGTCTTATGACCCAAGGGACTTGCCTATGGCCTAAGGTTCTTGACTCCAGCTTGCCCCCATTAGTATTCAGGGACACTCTCAAACACCTGTACAAGGCCTAGATCTTTCTCCACCTTCAGGCCACCCCAGGGTCTGGGACAGGCTTGCTGGGGGAGGATACAGGTGGAAGTCCCACCTCCATCCTGTTTTCTGGGTGAGGGGGCAAGGTAGTAGGGATTTAGCTTCAACACTTCCAAGACCACATGGATCTCATGTGGGTGGGAGGCACTGCCCTCTCACTGTCCAGGGGACCACTCTTGACTCCTATCAGCTCTTCCTCCTCCTTCCCACTCCTCCCTAGCCTGCTCCATGAGCTCAGCTCAAGTGGTGCTGAGCAGGGAGGAGAATGTGGCCCCCGGGAGCAGGACAGGCATCTCCCTCACCTGTGTGGCCATGTACCTGTTCACCACTGCTGCACTGGAGCAAAGCAGTCTGTTTTCAAGCTTTTGTTTGAACTTCTCCAGATACAGCCTTGCAAGGACCTGGGCATTGCATACCTGTTCACCTCCCTAGGTCCTCACACAGCCTCACCTGTCTGGCCTGAGTCCCCTGTACTCTGGCTTCCACACCCTCCCCCTTAGCTTGCCTTCTCCATGGCCACCACAGACCTTTCTGGGCTGCCCAGGGTCCCCTCTGGCATCAGCCACTGGTACTATGACCCTCTGCTCTCCCCTCCCCCCACCCTCTATGTCAGCTCCTCCTTACCTTATACTTCTCTCGAAACCTTCCTCCTGTCCCCTTGTGGCTTTCCGGCTCTAACCTGAGCCTACCCTGTCTTCCTGCCACAACTTGTTCAGAACTTTTGGGGTCCTCTGTGGCCCCCTCCATCTGGAGCCCTGATCCACTCTGGTCTGTGCTGGGGCTGGGATGGGGCCCAAGGAGCTGTGGCCCTTTGTGGAATTGGTGGCTGCTCTCAGCTGAAGGCAGGACAGGGGCTTGTGCCAGGGGATCCCAATAGGTGGGATGGGGGTGCACTCACGTGACTGTCCCGGGGCACTTGGGGCCCCATGCACACTGCCGGTACTCAGCCTTTACGTAGCTCTCTGCTCCCTCCTGTAGGACGCAGGTCACATTCCTGTGCACCACATAGGCACAGAGGGCTCTGCAGGGACAGTGGAACATCTGGGATATCGGGCCTGGGCCGGGCCCACTGAGGGTCCTACCCTCTCCCTACCTCCCATCCATGGGCCTCAGCAAGGGACCAGACCCACACACACACATACACCCAGTCTCTCTCTGTCCTTCCTCCTAGTTTCTAGGAACCAAAGCCCTTGGCCTGGGGTCCAGACTCTCCTGGCCTGATCCCAGCCACACTGCTGGCCTCTCGGATCCCAGCCTCCCAGATGGGCTGGTCACTGGGCTAAACATTGTACTGAACCAGGAGCCCGGTATGGCTGCCATTCCTGTGGTCTGAGGTCTACCCTGGGTTCTCCCTTAAGTGTCTCCCTATGTCCCCATGCTCCTCCAGCCCCTTCACTGATCCCAAACTCTTTAACATGGTATTGGAAGCTCTGAGATCCCCACTTACTGTCTCGTTTGAGAGCAGGTTTCCCATCTTTGCTCCTCTTACTGCTTCCCAGGAAAGCACACTCCACCTTGTAGTCTTCTAGCCCTCCCTGTTGTTCCTGTTCTCTCACTCCCAAACCAGTTCTTATACTGCTTCCTCCAGGAAGCCTGCTCTGATTTGCCCAGGCCCATTGTGTGTCATCTCCGGAGCTGGGCAAACTCCTACCAAACCAAACCAACTGCCATTGAGTCGATTCTGGGGCATAACGACCCTTAGGGCAGAGCAGAACTGCCCCATAGGGTTTCCAAGGCTGTAAATCTTCACAAGAGCAGACTGGCTCAGCTTTCTGCACTAAGCGGCTCTTAGGTTTGAACTACTGAACCAAATGCTTTATTTAACCACTAGCCACCAGAGCTTCTTCCCCTCCTACCAAACCAAAACCAAATCCACTGCCATCCAGTTGATTCCGACTCATAGAGACCCCTCATAGGGTTTCGAAGGCTGTAAATCTTTACAGAAGCAGACTGCCTCATCTTTCTTTGGGAGCAGCTGGTGGGTTGGAACAGCCAACCTTTTGATGACCAGCCCAATGTCTTAACCACAGCGCCAGCAGAGCTCCTTTCTCACCCTACAATATCCCTAAAATTCAGCTACAGTCTCCACAAGACAGTGCCCTTGGCAGTGCGCCCCCCACCCGACTGGAGCCAGTTTACAAACCATTCACTACCTTACTAAAGCCCAGATGCTGAGGCAGTTCTTCTGTGAGCCTCAACACAGGCCCAGGACCAACAAGCCACCACCAGCTCTGTGGCCAAGCCACGATGGGGCTCCCAGGGCGTGGCTGGGACTGGGCCGCCGGACGCACGGTTCCATCTCCCTACCTGGTGGGGCAGAGGAGAGATGGGAGGCCCCGGCGCGGGGAGCCCCGCGTGCTCCGTGTACGGACCGCCCTTCCTCCTCTCCCTCCACCTGGTCGGCTGCGCCCAGAGTCTGCACAGAGCGCAGCTGGAAAATGTTACTTCGCTGGAAAGGTTTCCGCGGGCACTGCCAGGATTCCAGCCGCCGCGCCAGGCCCCCTCGGCTGATTTTTCGTCGCCAACCCGCAGCCTCCCGGAGCGTGGGGCGTCCGCGCGGGCAGGAGCTCGCCCCGGTGCCGCCCCCTCGGGTGCCCGGCGCCTCGCCTCCCCCGTGCGGGATCCGGGCAGGTGAGAGCGGCGCCCGCGCCCCGCGCCCCAGCCCTCGGCTTACTTGTGCGGCCCCGGGCGCAGCCGCGGGCGCCATCCCGTCGTGTAAAGGCTGTAGCTGGAGGCCCTGGGAGGCGCTGGCCGCGCCAGGAGCGGGGTGCCCTTGGCCTGCGCGCTCGAGAGCAGCGCCGCA